TGTGACTTATCACCCTACATATTGGGGCAGGTACAATAAGGGAGGAGAAACTGATCATCTCATTAGTTTCCCTTGGTGCGTCTATGACAAGATCATAGAGATCAAGAGGTTCAAAACAAGAATGAGATGAGAAATCTTCACTAGTAGCTACCTTCTTTCTGGAAACAAATGCTTTTGGGAGGTTTTCACTCTGATCAAGAAGTTTTCATCCCTACTGCTTACTCTTGTTTTCCCATTGACAAACTTGGAAGGCTTTTTACATATGGAGCACTGCTTCTCTCTCTCTCCCACACCCTAAGACGCGGGGGACGGTAATGGGCCAGCTGACAAACTAGCTAAAAGGAGCACCCAATAACTAATTTCGTTATGTTTGTTTGTGATTGTTTCCCTGCTCTTCCTCATTCTATGATCTGCCATTAGAATTCAGACCTGTAAAACTGAAAACCAAAGCTTAATTTATGAACTAAAATTATAAGAAGAAGATGTAAGAAACGGAGGAGGAGGAGGAGGAGGATGCGGGGAAAAGAGAAACTGGATTGAAAAAAACAAGAAGTTCACGAAGAAGCTAACGCCGTGTGTTTTATTTTATATGTGAAGCTGAAGAAAAATTAGTTTTTAAGGGTGAATTATGAAATTAAAATATTTATTATTCGTATACTTATACTAAAACTAGATTCATACCCGTGCGTTGCACGCCAAGAAAATTATTGCAGTATAAAAATTACAAATTATTTGAGGTTCATCGTGAATCTATAATTTTATTTCACTACAATCCGCAATTCTTAGAATGGAACATACTATTTATTTAATTATTTATATAAAATATATATTTTATTTAACTATAGGTCAAAGATTGAAACAGTTGTCTGAAAAAAGACAAAACTGAATAAATACTCCGGAACGGATGTAGTACTAGATAAATAGTTTTTCAATTTTTGAAAACTATTTATAAGTAGTCTTTTAGGTCGAATTTGACTAACTATGAAAAAAAATTTCCAAAATTGAGAATTATTTACTTAATGTATTAGAAATATAGACTAAATACGCCTATAATTATGAACAATTTATGAAATTTACTCTTTTGAATATAATATTTGTTGTGACCCCATAATATGCACTCTTTTTGGAGAGAAAACATTTAGGAATTGATTCTTTTAATATTCCGTGAAAAAATTGCAAATACTAATCTAAAGAGACTATATTAAAGGATTATATTTTTTTTCCCTAGTTTGGTCTTTCTCCCATTATATTAAAGGATTATATTTTTTATAACTAAAAAGAAATTTTTATACAATCCTAATTTAATTATGAAATATTATAGGTTAAGTGAAAATGTAACAAAAAGCACTCTAGATTGGATGATAAGGAACTCATCTAATTGACTAAGAGATCTTGGGTTCAAACTCCCATGGTGGTATGCTTTAGG